AGTTCCCAGCTGCCATTTTGTAGCTGTCCTTTTCCCTCCGTGCGTTACGTGGCCTTCAGTGGCCTCGGGTTGGGGTATTGGGGCGGCGTGTGTGCGTTTTGTTTCAAGGAAGCACGCGTGCCAGCCGATAGCATGAAAACATGTCTGCGGCTGGGCGTTTTGTTTTAAATTTGGAGTGGAGTAGGTAATTAGTGTGGCTGAGAGAGCCTCTGCTCTTTCTGCTGCCTTAGCTACAGGTGAAGCTGCAAATTGCTGGGCCATGCTAGTGCGTTACTTCTCAATATCTCTTTATATGCTAAATAAAATGTATGTGAGACTTATTTGCCTATTTTTTCCCCATAAGCAATAGCTATTGTAAAGAACACGACTTAAGGCATTTATTGGGCCAAGATGTTTGTAGAGAAGCTCCATTACACCAAAATTCAATTTTAATTTTGATCTTTTGGCAGTTATGTCTGATTGAAGTGCATACCTCTCAAAAGATATTATTGCTTAGGTTAAATGTACACAAACTTAAGTCATTTCCTGATAAAGTAACATTTGTGTACAATGATTCTATTCTAAGAGAAGAGTGAAAAGAATCCTATATTTGGTTTGTTTAAAAGATTTGAGTGGATGTAAAGTAACTTAGAATTTGATTTTATGTAGTTTTATGTAGCTATTTTTCTTAAAATAACTCTCTTTTGTTGGCCAATAGATATACAAAAAGTGTATTTTGCAAAAAATGGTAAAAATTATAACATGTTCTCCCAGTTTGTTTTACTTCTTTAAAGGTTTGCTTTGTATAGTGCAACAGTAGAAAGATTTGATGTATTCTGTGTTTTGCAGTTGACATGTTTGGGATACACTGAACTACATTTTGGATTTCCTTTTTCCTGCATGTTCAGAACTTCATTTAAAAAGTAGAAGACAAAATGAAGAGCAGGGTGACGCAAGTAAATGTAAGTATTCTTAAATTGTGGGGTACTACAGTGTTGTTTTTTTATGGGGGGTTGGAGTATGGAAATTTACATTGAAAGCCTTGTATTTATTCCTTAGCCTTTGATTCATTGCTTTCCATTTTCTTTCAATTGGAAATCAAATATACTTAATACTGCGTGTTTATCAAAGATCAGTTTTCCCCTTGCTGTTATTTTATTGATTGGCACTGTATTGTATAAAGTCCTGTTGTCACACTTAAAGGCACTTAATATTTAGCTCTTTTGTCAAGTGCTTGTGAGCACGTTGCTGCTCTGCCACTCACACAGGTACCAGTGGTGTCCTTTTCAAAGATGTACTTGTTCATTTCTTTGTTTACCAAAAAATCCCTGGTGTGAAGTGAATAATATCCATAACAGAGAGCAGTTGGCCATGGGGGAAAAACTCCCACACTCTGGCTTGGTGGATGTTCTGAACATTATTAGCATTTAGTGGCAAAAAAAAAAAATGGGGAGTGAATGTGAAAACAGAACATGAACAAATGAAGGAGCTGGGAAAAAGAATGATGAAGTACAACAGCGATGTCAAAATTAAAAGATACAGAGACAGGAAGTGGCAAGAAATAGCAGTTGCTCGTGTTGCTGTAAATGTGGTGGTTTTATTTCTTGCTGCAAAAGATATTTTCCTTCTACAAATTAATGCATTTCTGAACTGATGAGGGTAGTGATTTTTAGGAATACAAGAAGAAAAAATTCAATTCAAAGTTATTCTTTTAGATTAATGGTTTAGAAATGTTACATATGTCAAATACACTAGATTAGAGTTGGGATAGCAGAACAGTATTGCTCTTTTTCTTCATTCTTTTGGTTCCAGCTGTTCTGGCTGGCTTGTTTTTTGACAGGAATGCTTGAGAGTTAGGCTGATGTCTCTTGTCTTCTCAATCAGGTGGTTATGGCAGTCCTTCAACAAACATGCCTGCTTTTGCAAGGAGACATCAGAGCAAGCTCCCCAGTACAGCCATCCATTACATTGTTTAACTGGTGTAAACATTTGTCCTATTGTATCTGTTTGGAGAAAAGTAGATGAGGGAGTTGGGGGAACAAATCATCCCGAAAAGACCCAACTCTTCCCACTGGTCAATAGTGATAAAATTGTTATTTAAGCGATTCGTGATTGTGTTTTACCTTGACTTATCTCAGCTCCGTTTGCAACTTACGTAGTTTCTGTGTATTTAGTAACGCATGTTAATTTTCTCTTTTGTATTTGCCTTTTTACCTTGAACTTGTGTAAGCTTTTAGCATCGACAGCATTTTGTAACAGGGAGTTCAACTGCGAAACTGTATTATTTGAACAAACCTGACTACTGTTAACTTCATTTGATGACCCTTCCTTCTTGTTGGGGGGTGAGAGCCGAAAGACTTACTCTGTTTGCATCTCAAAGAAAAGCATACTGAAAATATTTATTATATAATATTTCACTTGATTTTTTTATTATTATTATTTTTTGAAAGCATGGTTCCAGCCATGAGAGGAAAGAAAGCTACAGTTCCCGCCACAGAAGTTTATCTCCAGAAGACAGGTAGAAACGGTTGATTTTTATGCCTAATAATAATTATTCATACATACCTCCCATAGTGAGTTAAAATGCAAAAAACAGTCATCCTTGAAATCTTTTTTATCAAATACTGTAAATGATCATTGAAAAAAATAATTGTAGATTTAATAGGATGGGTTTATTTGCATGTTGGGAGAGCAGTAATTAAATAGACCTGTTTTGCAGACTAAACATTTAAAAATTCTTCAGCATTTGATTAGAATGCCAAGAGACTTAAAAATGGAAATTAAATTCCAGCTTCCTTCTTGGACCCCTGTATTGCTGATACCACATTTCTCACTGTAGAGTAAGATTATGGATGCCAGCAAGAGACTCAGAAATGTCATTTGAAGTGAGTCTGCCAGGGCATAAGATGAACTGTTGGCAGCTTTTTCTTAATTTCATATTTGTTTGGAAGGAAACTACTTTTCTAATGGTGCCTATTCTGTTTAAAACTACATAAACAAAAGTAGATGAAACAAATGCATGCATGTCTTCCCAAGAATGCACAGTGCTGAATTTCCCTTTGGAGTTGATGTTATTACCATTTAGCATTTAGTTCTAGAAGGAGCTTTTTTTCTACAGTCCTCTGTTAATCATGATAATTTTTCTTTTGATGGAAATTACTGTTATAAAGAACTCATCTTTTGTTGAATCATGTGTATACTGAGACTCAATGCATGGTGCAGAAGGGCTACAAATTGCATATATGTAACAAATGATATAGCAAATATTACTACTGTAGCTTTACTAAGCCCTTAATAAGAATGTGTATTTTGGGGTAGGGATAGGGATGCAGAGCGTGACAGGTCTCCATCTCCCAGAGAGAGAAGATACTCTGATGACAGCAGGTATGAGGAATATTCAAGAAGGGACTACTATGATGATAGAATTTCAGATGGAAGGTGAGTATTGAGCCCTGTTTTTAATCAATATGAAGTTTTTTTTTTCTTTCATTTTTTAAGACTAAAAGGTGAAAACATTTCACCAACATCTGAGTTCTTCCTTTTTAGAAGGATGGAAAGAGAGCGAGACAGACACTATGAGAAATGGGGGGAGAGAGACTCTGATCGAAGAGGGGAGAGAGACTCTGATCGAAGAGGGGAAAGAGACTCTGATCGAAGAGGGGAGAGAGACTCTGATCGAAGGAAGCAGAGAAAACACTCGTCCCCGGATCATAGAAGTCCAGAGAGGTCAATGCCCCAGAGTTCCCTTCCTCATGATGAGCCCCCTTCGAAGAAGAAGAGGGAAGAAGTGGATCCAATCCTTACCCGCACAGGTGGAGCATATATTCCTCCTGCCAAGCTCAGGATGATGCAAGAGCAAATCACTGATAAAAATAGGTAAGATGAAGGTAACCGACTGGAATGTCTGCTTAAAAACCTGAAGGTTTTAGGGAATGCTCGTGAAAGTAGGATGCATTTTAAGGTTTCGAGGTGTAGGTTTTTCAGAAGAAAGTCAAGAGAAATATTTTCCTGAAAGTCTGCTTTCTTCTCATCCTGTTTCAGTAAACATCCGGATTGGACAGGACCTGCTTCTGATTTGAAAAGTTATTTGAAAAGTGAGATACATAGCAAAAACACTTTTTTGAGTATTTTTTGAACACTGAATGTACTGGCTTATAAAATGTCCATTGAGAACGGCATTTTCAGAATTTTAATACATCACATTGGTTTGGTTGTCGCTAGAAGCTGTATGTACAATTATGAACCACTTTTCACATTCATGCAGAGTATATTTTTTAGCTTTATTAATTGCAGTTTGCAGTAACATTTATACGTAAAAATTTACTTGATGCTATCTCAGATTTAGATAAATTTGTAATTTGTGGTATCTTTCATAGCTTGGCCTATCAGAGGATGAGTTGGGAAGCCTTGAAGAAGTCAATCAACGGTCTTGTCAATAAAGTGAACGTATCTAATATAGAAAATATCATTCATGAACTCCTTCAGGAAAATATTGTGCGGGGAAGGTAAGTGTCAAAATGTTTTAAAACCATTCTTGTGTTTCTGTTAGTATGTGTACTGTTTATGTGTAAATTAAGATGTATGCTATGTATAGTGTACTGACACTAGTCAAATTTTAAAATTCACGTTAGTCTGTCTTGTCCTACATAGAGGACTTTCTTACTTGGAAAAAGGGAGGGGAAAAGAATAAAAGAGCTTGAAAGAATGTAAAGAGTATGGGAAGTGGTATACATTTTCTTTTCATAATGATCTTACCTACCCATTTTACTTGAATGACTTGCAATTTACAGGTGTCTATGGCTAATTGCTTTTGAATTCGTTGATTTTTTTTTCTTTGGAGCAAATCATATTTTTTGTCAATATTTAGCAAAACATTTTCTACTAGAGCTATCTGACCGAATCGTTCACTATATTCATCTGAATGACTATTTTTTAAAAAACATTTAAACTAAACATCAGTGGTATGAGGAATTACAAATTCGTTTTTGAGAATTTCTTCAAAGATGTTAACTTATTTTAATTCCTGACTTTTAGTTTAAATGTTTTAGTTTAATGTTTTAAAACACATTACAGAACCTCTCCAAATCATGTTTAATCTTTACAGTAGAGGTGCTCGCAGAATCACAAGTGAGAGGTTAATAACAGAATAGACCATTACTTCAGATTAAGGAGTGTGAGAAGTCTTAATGTAAGTGACAAACGTAGTTCCAGGCACAAACTCTGTTGATTCAGGAGTGGTAGTATTTTTGTGGCAAATTTTGCCAAGTAAAACAAAATAGTCTTCAATAATGTGTAACCTGTGTGTTTATGGGCACCTCAGCAGTAGAGTCAGCTCAGGTAGGAAGAACATCAGAGATCCTTTTTGTAACTGTTACCTTTTGGCAGCTTCTAGAGAATTCTCTGTTTGGAAGACAGGCAGACTTCAGTAGATGACAGAAGTCTATCAGAGTAGATAGACTTGAATGCCAGTATGCACTGTGAAGATACAAATTTGGAGGACATTACCATTTTTCCATTGTTCCATTTGTCCTTTTCCCAGTTTTTCCATTGCTCTCAGAGTAATATAACAAAAGTCAAATTCTGTATCATAAAGCAATTATAAAATGCAAATCTAAGACAAATTCTCGACTTTTACCTTTAAATTTGAAAACAAAAATATAAATGTAGGAGACATTTAATATAATCAAATAACCATCAGTGCTTGAGCCCTCTGTTTCTATTCATTTAGCCTCTAGAGGTAGTCTTCTATACTCAGCTGCTAATTCCAGAACATAATGATGATGATAAAAACGCCCTGAAAACCTTTCTTTGCCTATTTTGATTTTACTCAACGTTCATTATTACTCTTTAGATGGGTCTTCATTGTTAGGGGTGTTGTATGATGGTAATTTTTATGTCTTAGAAGTTGATTTTACTTAAGCTATTTATTATACTGGAGTGCAGTTCTGTGTTTTTCTTCATTAGTAGCAGAGGAGATTTTTCTGTCACAAACATAATGTTGTTGTATTACTTGAGAAAGCAGCAAGACCTTAAAAATTCTGAGGCCTCAATGAGCTTTTGTTTTAGTTAAAAATGGAATAATCGCAGGATTATTTCTACAAGATGAGGGCTTCCAAGTGTTTATCATTTTAAAATGTAATTCTAATAGCAGCAATATTTGATAGCTATCTCTTTAGAATCTCTGAGCCCAGACACATTTGGGCAGCATTTTGCAAAACTCCATTTACTGTGCGGTTAACCTAGTGAAAATGACTATTCCAATGGTAGTCCAGCTATTTTAGATGATGCATGCTGAATGAAAATATTTAATGTTTCTGAATTCTTAAACTCCTATTTTTACAGGGGATTGCTATCTAGGTCCATTTTGCAAGCTCAGAGTGCCTCTCCAATTTTTACTCATGTTTATGCAGCTCTTGTGGCAATTATCAATTCAAAGTTTCCAAATATTGGTGAATTAATCCTCAAGAGGTTGATACTAAATTTTCGCAAAGGATATCGCAGAAATGATAAGGTAGGTAAGATATAAAGAAACAACATGCTGAAACTTGTTCTGCTGTGTTAAACTCTTACCAGCTGTGTTCAAAGCATATGCTGCAAAGGAACATAGCCAACAGCTATGGTTTAGGACCTGTCATTATATGTGGACCTCCATGGTACCACATACAGTAGTAGTATTGTGAAAACTTGCTAACCTGTGTTAGGTTGCTGCTGTGGTGCTCCTTCTTTGAAAGTATTTGCTCCTAACTGAAGAATTTATAACATCCCTCAAGTTATTTTCATAACAATTTCAGATTGTGATTGCACAAAGATCTATATTAAGAATATCTGTGTTTAAAATTTTTATTCTTTATAAAGTAGAAAAAAATGGCACATCTTTCTTTTTCAGCAACTCTGTCTAACATCTTCAAAGTTTGTTGCGCATCTGATGAATCAGAACGTGGTAAGTTTGTTTTTTTTCATTAGTTCAAATTTTATATGTCTGTGTTTTTGCCTTGAAGACAGCAGTAGCCCAAGTGAAGATTGCTCCCTGTTCTAAAAGAAACCTGAGTTCAGAATTTCTGTGAACTCTTGATGCTTGCTCTGAGTTGGTAGGGCCTTTCTGGAAAACACATTGACCTGGTAATTTGGCTGTGCAGTTACCACTGGAGTGGGATGTGTGGGATCAGGCATAGACTGAATAGGCACTTCTATGCTCCTACGGATAGGATGTTTTTCACTCAAGCTCCATACCTTGCCCAAAGTTTCTGCATATATTTGGCCCGGTATTCAAGTAGTTTTGTATGTAGAGCAAGCTCAGGCTGAGGCTCTGCCCTTCAGTTGAGCTTAAATTGGTGGATAGAAAAGATCTTAATCAGAGTTTTCTTGTATCATTGACATCTCTTATGGACTTAAGAAATGGGGTGCATTTTATATTTTTTTTTAATCGCAGTTCTTTTTTAAATTGGTTTCTTGTTTGCTGGAGAGTAGGCACTTTTTAAATAGCACAGTCACAGTTGCTATAAAGTTGGTGCAAATACAAGAAGCAAAATTGTTTGAAATTTTGAGTTTGTATTAATTTTGTCCAGTAATGTTGTCATGTACATGCAATGATGCAAATGTGACACGGCATCCTCAAAAGCTGTAGGTCTCAACAAGGTTGCTGTAATAGGGAACAGTGTGGATTGTAATTTTTTATTAATATTCTTTCCAAAGGCTCATGAGGTTTTATGTTTGGAAATGCTCACCTTGCTTCTTGAAAGACCTACTGATGACAGTATTGAAGTAGCAATTGGATTTCTTAAAGAGAGCGGCCTCAAATTAACAGAAGTATCTCCTAGGGGCATTAATGGTAAGCATAGCCAGAACGGTTGCCTGGTCAGTGTTTTTATTAATAAGTGTTTCACAGTTACATTTCTCTTTCCATCCAAAGCGATTTTTGACCGTCTTCGTCACATTCTGCATGAATCTAAAATCGACATGCGAGTTCAGTACATGATAGAGGTTATGTTTGCGGTACGGAAGGATGGCTTCAAAGATCATCCAATCATTCCAGAGGGATTGGATCTAGTGGAAGAGGAGGATCAGTTTACACATATGTTGCCACTAGAAGATGAATATAACCCAGAGGATGTCCTTAGTAAGTTGAAAACGGAAACTAATTTTAGGGCTATGAAAAAAATGAATTCAATTTGCAGCTTTTTATTTATTTTGTGTTTTTATATAAGATTTCTCTTTTATTTTAAAGATGTTTTCAAGTTGGATCCCAACTTCATGGAAAATGAAGAGAAATACAAAACACTTAAGAAAGGTAGGATGTGTACGTCTATGTAGTGTGTGTGTGCGTATATATATATATAAAACATGATTTATCCAAGCATTTCACTGGGACATGAAATTGTTAGAGGATTCTGTTAAGATCTACAGTTAATGTTATTTTCAGATTCTGATGAGCAAGACTGATAAGTACTTCTACAATAAATGTGCCATTTGCTTGTTTCAAATTTAGCTGACTCTTTTTTTTGTAGTGAAATGTGTTGGATCAAGGTCTTCTGTAATTAAACTACTATGATCTGTTCTTTTAATATGTGATATTATTCCTTCAGAAATTCTTGATGAAGGTGACAGTGAATCTGAAGCAGGTCAAGAAGCTGGAAGTAGTGAGGAAGAGGAAGATGAAGAGGAGGATGAAGATGGTAAGAGTGTGACTAGTGACTTAATGGTGATGGAGCTGTTGTGCTTGAAAGAAGAAAAAATGGTATCTTTTAGCAAACCGAGGTTATTGGGATGTTAAAGAGTGTTTACTTCTTAAATCTTCTCAGATCTAAATGTTTAATGTTAGAAGGTCAGATGCAATTGAGAGGTAAATGAAAACAGTCAGAAGCACAGACCAAAAATGAGAAACATCTTTGCCTGAGTGCTCTTGACCCTATTGGATGCATAAAAAGGCAAGAAAGAACAGCTTGTAAATATGACATGTTAAAAATAACCAACTTAGAAACACTTGCATAAAAACTATCAGAAAAGCTCTCGCTGGGTGTATTTTTTCATGCTACTTTAAGTCCTTTTCAAAGTGGATTTTCTTACAACTGAAATCACTGTCTTGATATCTCAGTTATTGGGTCTGTCCAGCTTCCTTGCTTGTTCTTTACTGGAAGCACTTTATTACAGTGTTTACACACTTTCGAAGGATGCTTTTTAACTCGCAAGAAAAATAAATATGTATAAGCATAAAAGAGATGTTTGTATAAACAGTGTGAATAATTTGAAAGCCAGTCAAATTCTGTATTTGTAGAAAATTAGGAATGGTTTTCAGTTTGCTCGAGCATTTCACAAAAAAACCCTGAAACTTTCAGGATGATGAAGGTGAGAATTCAGAACTCTTCATCAGTCATGTTTACTGTTAAACTTTAAAAGAATGAAGAAGTAATGAGCTTACGGATAAAGGTGTTCACAGTATTGATGTGGTTTGGTATGGATTTTCTACTCTTGGCACCAGGACAAAACAGAACTTTGTAGAATGCTGTAATATGGATTTTACTCATATCAAAAGTAAAGAAGTTCCTGTTAAAATCAGTGGGAGATAAATAAAGCATTGCATTGTTAAAGTACGTAGAAAATAACCTACTAATAATACGGCCAAGTAATGTTGAGCTCAGTTTGTGATGGCCAAATCAGATGAAAGGACACAGTTATTTTTTTTTAAATCGTATCCCTAAACATTTGTCCCTGAGTCACAGATAAGGTGAATGCTGGTGGCATTCTTGTGTAAACATGCACAGAACAGCTAGATAGTCCTAGATATTTAGACAAAAAGTATTTGTAGTGCTATAGACTTAAATATATCCATTCTAGAGGTTATATATCTATACGTTAATATTCTGTTCTTTACAAAACATGTTTCTCTTTCCTAGGACAGAAAGTTACTATCCATGATAAAACAGAAATTAACTTGGTCTCCTTTCGTCGTACAATTTATCTTGCTATTCAGTCAAGGTAAACAGAATATAATTTATACAGCTACATTTATATTTAGTGGTGTTTATTGGTACTTATATGTTTATTGCTTGGTGCAGGGGAATTCATTAAAGCTCCTTTAAACTGCAGAAGATCTTGTATCTACTTCATTGTCTAAATGTTCACCATGTTACATAGTCATTGCCTTATATTTGGAAAAATACTGAGCCTGGCCTTGCAGCATCAGTTTTTACAAGTTCAGTTACCTACCTCAATATTAGTAAGGCTAGTATTTGTTCCATCATTGTCAATGTCAATATAATTCTGAAATATGTTTTTAGCATAATGTATATTGCACAGATGAAGAGAAATGTTTTTTTCTTTATTTCAGTTTAGACTTTGAAGAATGTGCTCACAAATTGCTGAAGATGGACTTCCCTGAAAGTCAAACTGTAAGCCTTGCTTTTTATTTGTTTGATTACCATTTTTATGAAATTCTGTTGCTGTAGTTTGTATATCAGATGAATTACAGTGACTCCTTACAGCTGTTACTTCTTGAAATGAGTCTTATATAATCTTTAAAGCAAATGGGCTGTCACACGTTTCATAAGACAAATAGATGCAATTTCTCCTTTCTAGCAAACAGGTTAAATGATGTGCTCATGGTTTGTTTGAGAAGGTTTGTTGGTTCAGCTGTTGAAACATTTATCTTATCTAAATAATGCTGTAATACAATGGACAATCTCAGAGCTCTGGAAGAAAAATCTGGGAGCTGCACATCAACTTGCAGGCAGTGGTAAATTTTGCCTATTGGCCTTCTCCTTATGCCAAAAAAACAGTAGACTGTTGCTTTCAGTCTTATTTGAGTAATATTGTGTATTGAGTTATGTGCTTTGGGTTGATCTTGGAGATAAGCAGAGAAAAACTGGTTGCAAACACCATGCTTAAGATCAGTAAAACTGTTACTCTTTCAGATAAAGGAAATTGTCCTTTAGCAAGCACCTATACCAGATCCTGATAGATTCTAAATACCCATCTAATTATATAAATTGCTTTTCTATCAGCTGTAAGATACATAAGAATTACACTTAAAAGCTGTTAACTTTCTAATGGCTTTAGTTGCTCCTATTCTGCTGCACTTGACGGTCTGTCATAGATATATCTTAATTAATATAATAACTAATAAGAAGTAGAAATCTATGCTATAGGTAGATATTGATCAAAACTGATCAAAATACAGTGCTGACTGATAGACTTGTGAGTAGCAATGCTAAAATCTCTGAAATATTTTGACTTATTTTAATATCTCCTTAGAGTACCGATATGATTATAGAAGGCAAAATATAGTATCCTAGCTGGTTGTCTGGTTAAAATTCTAGATGATATCATTTTGATACAGTAACATCTCATTCCAATATGTGTAAAATTTTTGAAGTATCACAGACTTAACTACTGAAGTTAATAATACGCTTTGCAAAATTGTTACACTTAGATGAATAAGTATTTCTATATTTGAGTAATGAAAATTGCAGTGCTTAGATTTTTCTTAGGATTTTGCCTAGTATACCACCCTTTTCAAAAAAAAGAAAATCTAGTATTGGTTGATTCATTATGCTATAATTACTGTGAATTAGATGCCTTAGAAAATGCAAAGTGCTATTTTTGGCATTTTGATTGGATGTGAATCTAAAGAGAAAAATTACTATCAAATAATGATTCGGTACTAGTTGCAGAAAGTATTATAACCCAAAGTTCAAAATAATTTGAACTCATTTCTTTATTGGATGAGGAGTGCTTTTTGTATTGATTTTTTTCTAATATTCATCCTTACTTTCGACCTAACATTGAGAAGGCTGAGCACTGAAGGATACTTAGAGGGTGTATTTTATAATGATCAAGAAAACCCCAAAACCTGAGGTTTTCTCATCAGTGTGGGAGCAGAAATGATGAGCAGATACAAACATTACAATGATACAAGGATTTGTTGGTGTTAAATCTGTTCATGGAGATACAAATCTGAATGCTTTTGACAATAATTTTCTGTTTAAAAATGACTTCTGGACATCTGTGTTGATTTTTGACACATTTTCTCCCTGATCCCTTTTCACACTTTGCTATCAATGCTGTAAATTTCCACAATCTCCCTGTGCATCATGTTTTATAGATCCTCCTTTTTTCCCTGCAACTTTTTTTTTCCTCAAAAAATCTTGCAACTATTTGCAGCTCTATTGGGAGAGGTTTTTTTCTCTCTGAAAGCTTGTCCAAGTTATTTTGGTTCTTCCTGTTACTGTCTCATACCCTTTCAGCAGGCAAAATGCCGTTGTCTTCCTGTTTCTGATCTTTTTGCCTCTTGTTTTTGATCCCTTTTCTAAATTCTTGTGCAGGTATAAAAACCTTTCAAATCTTGTTTCCTATCTTTTGTACTGGCATCCATCCCCAGATACAGAATTGGTACCGAGCAGACCCTTGCTAACCTGGCCTGCCTGTGTAGTCTCAGATCTGCAGGGGATGTTACTGTATTACTGCAAGTCACATATGAAGACAACAAATTGTCTTCTGTACGTAAGATGCGCTCTTGTGTGCCAAGACTCTTCAGTTTGGACTTAAAACTTTAACAAAGGATTTTCTTTTTTGATTATTTGAATTGTACCTGCAAAATAACCAGATCTTGCTTTACAGGTGTAAAAGGTGATCTTTCTTAAGCAGATATCCTGTATTTTGAAGCTGGATTTTTTTTTTTTTGACCTTAGATCCTAAACATTCTGTACATGCACAAGGGCAATGTAATTGTTGTTGTTAAGGTCTGGAAATACAGTTTTAACTACATGATTAAGCCTGATTTTTTTTTTTTTTTGGAAACTGATAATACTTCAACACTTATCATTGTAGCATCTAGTTCAACCTGTTTGTGAAACTTGATTCTACTGCCTTTTAAATACATTGTGAGTTTGATAAAACAATGATCTTGTTCTCTATTTAATGCTATGAACAAAATCCAAATTGAGGCATTAGCACTCCTAGTTTCCAGGCACTGTAGTGTGATAAAGAACAACCAAATCTGAAGTACTCAATTATATATTTTCAATCATCGCCTTGGTAGTTGAACCCTGAGAGTCTGAATGTCTGCATTAATATTTGAAAGTTTTAAGGGCTCAGAGGCCCTAGTCTATTTTCTTGTGTTGAAAAGGACTGGATATGCCTACAAGTAGCCCCTCATCTGAGGGGCATGAATGAATAACAAGAGTGAGACCTCTTGGAGGTGGCTTGAGGGTCAGCTCGGAAACAGTTCTTAGCTGAATGCTACTATTAAGGAAGAAAATAGTAAAAATCAAGGGGAAAAAACGTACCAACTATAAAAAGGAACCCAAGATCAGAATGGGGTGAGTCACCTGAGCTGCTTTAGCTCTTCCATGTGCAGTTAATATTGCCTTCACATGAAGCTGAGGACATGTAAGAGACGGCAGGGTGTGCTTGAGTTTTTGCTTGTTCTTAATGGTAAAGCTGGGGGGTAAAAAAAGCAAATGGTTTACCCTTTCGCTTCTTAAATACCCTTTGCTTGACACAATGGGTTGTGTCAAGGTCCGTTCAGCCCAGTGTTATAAAAGCGAGTAATAAATGTGTAGGAACAGCCATAAGCAACAGAATATATTTAAGAAGAATCCTGCCACTTCCCTGCTGTCTCAGCAGGTTGAGTGCCATTTTTCCATGATGCAGTACTGAACAGGAGATTTTTATGATTGAAGATTACTCAACCTTTCTGCATGGGACTTCAGATACTTTTGGAGCATGTATTTGCTTTGTTATTGGATAGCTGTATTTTGTCGAGTTAGCTGCATAGTCACTCGTTCAGCATTCTGTGAAAGCCTTTGAGCTGCAGTACAGTGTATAAATTGTCAATAAAATTAGGAAATAAATTTACTGCATTCTTTAAAGCAAATAATGGATGTAAAACTGCAAGATCTTAGTGCCATGAACATTATCAGAAGTATTATCACTCAGCAAAGAAGTGAGTTAACTAACCTTTAAAGCTATAAATTGTTAGAATTGCTATGTGAACTTGTCACATCTCTCGGAAAATAATTGCATCGTTTTAAAGGTTGTTAATTTTTAATCTGGACAACAGTTACTCTAGACCTAACCTCAAGTTGTTTTGATAATACTAGCAAGAATGTCTTTCTGGGAAAAGCTATTTTCATGTGCATGACTTCAAGATACTCTTCTAGAAATCATTGTAATATTTAATTAAAATGTTAAAATATTTAATTACTGTAAACCACAGGGGACGCCAGTGTTGTAATTGCACTTAAGATGAGGAAAAAAGTAATTTGTTTTTCAAGTCTTGCTGACTTTATTAGCAGTGGCATCAGCATTTTACCCTGTTTTATTGTTTAAAAGCTGATTAACTGCAGTGTTATTGTAACACAGGAGGAGAATATAAAAAGCTAATACACATTTTAATACATCAAGCTAACACAATGTGACAGTGTTGAATACCTTTAAACACATTTGCAAGTTTGGGTTTGATGCATTACTGCTTCAGTGTTTGGAGGGACTTATTTTTTCCCTTTTTGTTTAACATGCCTGTCTTCTTGTTTAGGGTTCACTGTGTGGTGGGAAAACTCTCTTTTCAGAAAGAATGTTTGAAAGAATGGTAAAAGTGGTCTTTATTAAATGTGGTAAATGTTATGGTTGTGTAAGCCATGAAAGAGAGTAAATTAAGATTACAATGATGGCAAAAGTTCATTTTTATGATTTCTCAGCTACTATTCTTTTTTGTGAGGACTGTTGTAATTATTTAAAGAGAGAAAATTACCTAATTTATATAAAGAAGTTTAATGTATTATAGAATCTGTTTTTGCTTTTTAATATCCCTGTCACCTCAGCATGTTAAATAATTTGCTTCAATCACAAAGCAGGTACGTAGATTATTCATAGTAGTAGAGTTACCTACAAAAATATTCAGGGTTTAAAAACGTATTAGGGAACTAATGTCATAAGTTGGTTTATGCTGTGAAGTCAGTCTTTCGAGAAAACAGAAAGTATGGTTAACAGAAAAGTTGCAGTCATGTTTAAATGCCTTATCTTCTTTGTATTTTAAGGCCCTTAGTTTATGTAAGTGTGTTTGCTTGGGTTGCCCAGGGGTTCACAGGAGAGTCCAGGCGTGTTTCACTGTGTCTCTTGGCCTGCCAGAGCTGCTGCACGTCAAAGAATAGGAGAGAGCAGCTGGACAGTGAAGTGACACCGATGTTGGCGTGATGGCATTGAGAATATGAGGAGAAAGGTAGCCCCACCAAAACATGTGGGACTGACTGTTCTAGATAGCAGTGAGCAGAGCAGCAGGAGTTGCTCTAGACACTGCTGCTTCCAGAGGTGTGAAGTGCAGGGAGCTGCTCTTCTACAGTGGGATTCAGAACAGGAGCCTAAAGTAGCGTCTCCAAAAAAGCTTCTCTCAAATCCGAGGTTATAGCTGAAGTCCAGGCAGGTGCAGCTCCCAAGGCTAAATTTAGTCATTATGAGTGTCACCTTCAGCCCAGGCTCCCTGCTGAAGCAGGACATTCTGTGTGCTAGTGGTAACGAGCGCGGTGGAGCCACTAATGAGATTAGGATATAGCAAAATCTACAAATATATCTGATACTGCCTAAATATAGGCTGATTTAGCCAATTTATATAGCTAAATTTAGCCTGATATAGGCTAAACAAATCATATTTTAGTTTCCAAATGATTTGTCTGTAAGCTATTTAGACATTTGGAATTTCTGAACAACATCCTGCCTTTTGCAACATCTATAATGCTCCATGTTTTTTTTCTGTAGTAACCTTAACCTTATATATGTGTGTGTGTGTGTGTATATATATATAGAAAAGATTGCTTTTTTGGTTCTGCTTTTTGCTCTTAATATTATAGCTAGAATTTAAGACTGCAATTTTTATGCTTGAACTGCTACATAGTAGTTTATGATGAAAAATAGGAACACTTACATGGGATATGTACATAAAATTAGTTTTAAAAATGAAATAATTACTTGAGGACTTGTACAAAGATGTATTCAAGCCATAGCTTTTCATACATGAGCTATCAGTTCATATTTATTTAAGCATATCCATACTTTACAGTATCAAAGCCTAAAATTCTGAAATAAAGATGTGAATATGCACTAAGCATCTTTATATACTATTTCTTTTGGGGGTCCCTGTGCTATACAATAACATGAGTTTACTTATTTTTCATTTTATATAAATGCAGGGATTGATGCTTTTAAAGAAGCATCCTGTTTTTAAGCTCTGCTTCCTTTTTAGTGCCGTGGTCATTTTTTACAATTTTGATGTTGTTTCTTCTGTAGGATGGAAATTTAAATGGTGAAAGCTCATAATTAAGCCTTGAGTAAATTGCAAAACATGCAAAATTTAGAAAGCTATTGATTTTGTTGGTTAAGCTTTGTTAAAATTTCTGGTTTCAGAGAGTGTGGCATCCATCTTCTTTCAATATTTTGGTGCTTACTAATGATTTTTTTTTACTACTACAGCAGCTTACATAGAGAAAATTTTGTTTTATCTCAAACCAGAAAGAACTCTGCAATATGATACTCGACTGTTGTGCTCAGCAAAGAACATATGAGAAGTTCTTTGGGTTACTGGCAGGGGTGAGTTCTATTTTACTCACTTTTTAGTTTCTTTGTCTTACTCTAAATTTTGGGTGTTACAAACTTACCTTTCAACAGGTAAGGAAAATTGTTTTATTCTGAAAATAGTTATATTAGTTGATTGATTTCAGCATTTTGATTGTAATAAGCATGGTGAATACAGAATGAGTAAACTCACTTCATTTTAGTAGTGGCTGTTTCCTGGTTAAGTTTTTCTGGTCCATAATTTTGACAGGTTTATTAAGTAAAAACACTTGTCTTCTCAAGGGTACAAACAGGTACCAAAGGGGAGCGTCTCTTTCATACGTAATTTTTTTTCTTGTCCAGTACTGGGGAAATATTTTTATGGACAAAATGTTATGAAGCACTGACCCTATGAATGTACATATCGAAAAGCATTACAATACAAATGTGAGTTTCTCTGTTCCTTGAACTGTTTACGACCAAAATGTCTTGCCTCTGTGTTCCCTGCTGCCTTCCTGAGTTTAAATAGCCCTTCAGTAATGTCATGAGAAAGTTGCATTTGATGGGGTTACGTCAGGTGAGAATACTAGGTGTGTGGAGCTACAAAATTTCTGTATATTTTTCTGGAGGTCAAAATTGATAATCACTACTTTGCAATGCAGATTAGCTTCTTGTTCTGACAAACTGCCGAAAGTAGTAAAATGTGGATGTTTGACAGTATTTTCTTCTCTTAAGTATCAGTTAAAAGTAAAATCTTGCAGTAAATATTTGCATCATTAGGTCATTTGCATGCAAGTTATTTGCATGTTTAATGTTTTGTTTAATCTGTTTAAATTGTACTATGTTGTTTCAGCGTTTCTGCATGTTAAAAAGGGAATACATGGAATCCTTTGAAGCTATTTTCAAAGAACAGTATGATACCATTCATCGTTTGGAAACAAACAAATTGAGAAACGTTGCCAAGATGTTTGCTCATCTACTGTACACAGATTCAATTCCCTGGAGCGTAAGTAGAAAAGGCTCTTCAGAAATAATATGCAATACATTGTGGTTTTAGTATTTATTAAATGCTTTGCAACTATTTGTATTTCTAACAAATGGAATTATTTAAATCTCTACTCGTATACCCTATTGAACAATTGTGTTAAAAAACTGCATGAGTTGGAGGTAAATTGATTTGAGCTGCCATTTTACAGAGTTCATCTGGAATTGGTTTAATAAAATATACTTTTTAGCATTCAGAACTTTCAGTCATCAATTGTAAATAAACGACGTCTCTGAAAAGTAAATCAAAACAAACTATTTTTTTCTAAAATAAATGAAAAATTCTTTGTATTCACAGGAAATTTTAAAAGACTGTTGTTTTGTGATTTATGTACTGAATGAGTAAGGACAGATTCTGTCATAATATCATATAATGTAAAAAAGGATAAAATTAATACTGAGATTACTTGTTTTTAAAACTATTTTATTCTTGTTACACAGCTCAGGTTAGCTGGCATGCTTTAACTAAACCAATCCTATAAGATGCGCTAAAACTTATATTACTTGCTTTTCAAGCATCAATTTCCTTTTTGTTGTTTTTGTTTAACAAGCACACATAGTTCTTAGTTAACACTTAAGTGTCTTAACTTAGCTCTTAAGTGTTTAACTTTACAGAAGTTCACACACTTGAATCTCTCTCATTGGCATTTCTTTCTTTAAAATAAATCCTTAAAGTATTGCTAGCATTCATGTGGTCAGAAACTGCTGCCAGGAAGAAAAATTTTGTCAGGAATTATAGGATTCATGTTCTTGCACAAAAAAAGAGTCTTTATTGTAAGCTCAGTAGGACAAAGGACAAAATAAAATGCTAAGATTGAATCTGAAATTAGTATTTTTATCTTTTAAAGTTTCTTTGGCTGATGAGAATGTTGCAATTAATTTGGGGGTTATAGGTAATGCATTTGTACCTATAGGTCCTTTTCTTTGTCTGTGTTATTTTTTTTCCTGTTCATTTTAAGCATTAATGAAAGGCTATATGTTTAAATTTTTCTTCAGGTTCTTGAATGTATAATACTGAGTGAAGAAACTACCACATCCTCCAGTAGAATTTTTGTCAAAATATTTTTTCAGGAACTTAGTGAATACATGGGCCTTCCTAATCTAAATGCAAGATTAAAAGATGAGTAAGTTGAAATTTTATTTCACATTTATTCACTGAACGCATTTACTTCTCTGAAAGAGTACCTGCAAAAACTGTATTCTCAAATGCAACTAGGACTGCAATTCTGTAGCCACAAGACTGAAATAATAAATCCATATCTAATGCTACATATTGCAGATAGTCCCACTAAATCAATACTGCCATTGATTTGGGTAGACCGTGCGTATGTGCATGAATGTGTGAGTACCCTTAGGTGCTTTAGAGTCCAAGTTTCTTCTACATTTTATGATGTATTTAGCAGATGCATTAGTCCATGTAAACTGATAAGGCCCAGTTTGATGGGCTTCCAGTATAGGTACACAGGTACCAGTCTCTGCAGGGCTGTACGGAATGAAACTGTTTATACTGTCGTAATTGACCATGAAGTGAATTATTTTTTCTACATGTGAATAAGCTTACATTACTGAAACTTGCTATTCTGTGCTTAGAGCAGCCTTTTTCTTTGGTAAGTCATAGGTGTAAGCAGTGAAAGTATTTAAAAACGCGTGAACAAAAACCTTTGCTATCCTGGGGAAATTTATGTGATTTATTTTTTCAGATTGTTAATATAAATGAGAATTAGTGCTGACCCAGCGTGATTTTTAACTCAGATGCTTGTTTTCAACAGGACCTTGCAAGTTTTCTTTGAGGGATTATTGCCTCGGGATAACCCAAGGAACACTCGCTTTGCCATCAATTTCTTCACTTCTATTGGCCTTGGAGGACTTACGTGAGAAACATTTTTGGTCTTCTGATTTGATATATATTGGTTTTCCTTTGCCCCCTCCTCCCCCCAATTTCAAGAAAGAAAATATTTTTGTTTTTTTTGTTAATTAGGGATGAATTACGGGAGCATCTGAAAAATGCACCAAAGATGATAATGACCCAAAAACAAGATGTTGAGTCATCAGATTCCTCTTCATCTTCCGACACGGACTCTTCTTCAGATTCTGATTCTGACAGTAGCAGCAGTAGTAGTAGCTCAGAGTCATCCAGTAGCAGTGACTCCTCATCTAGCAGTGGCAACAGCAGTGACTCAGGTATTAAAAATTAGCTTAATGTTTTGTGTTGTAGAAGCTCCTATTTTTAAACACTTTCAGTTTTAAAACACATTTTACTTATGGAAACTTTCAGAAGTTAGAGGAACTGATTTCCATTTTTAGAGATCGAAATATTCGAGGAACATATTTCCTCAATGGTTTTCTCGCAGAGTTGGTATCTGTTGCATAGAGCCATCGTTTCAGTTCACAAGGGGATGGAAGGGTGAGAATGACTCCCTCACAGTACCCCTGTGGCGAGCATAGTAGTGAACTCTGAAGACTGATGTGTGACTTTTTCTTTCCTCAGCTTGATGGCATGATTTTTATAATTTTTTTGTCTCTCCTTGCAAATAAGTGCCTCTTCATGGGTTAGATAAGACATTGCTCAGTTTTAACCGTGTGTTTAGTTTTGTTCTTCGGGTCTCCATTTTTGATGCTTATTCCTCAGAAAGAGTTTGTGTGTTGATACAATGAAATTTCTAGTCTCATGAAAAATCTCCCTGGAAGATTTAGCTTTAACTGACAACTTGTTATATAAGTTTTATGCGTTATAATTAATATTCAGGAGCTTACATCATCCTGCTGATGTAGACTCTGTTCTTCGATATGAAGCATCATAAACATTGCTTAATCTATGAGGTACATCCTAGTTGAAGTTGTGTGCAGTCTCCCCTACAGACTATAAAGCAAGCAGATGATAACACAGCACGACTTTCTGTAGTGCGGAAGCTTGCTGATTCAAAGTTAATTTGATGGATTATGTGCCTCAGAAATGAAAGTGCTGATTCCTAGAAGAAAAGCCAAATGAAGTGCTCGTTCTTCAGAGGTGCATTTCTGCTGTGCAGGGCCCACCTCACGCTGGGCTGGGCCAGGGGCACCGCTGAGTGCAGAGCCAGGGGGCGGCTGCGCAGGTAGCTCTGCCACATGGAGCAACGCGGGAGCACTTCCTTCAGGGGGTTCTAGAACCTTCTCTTCCTCCTTTTGTCCTTTTTTCAGGAACAGATCCATTAAATCTTACCTTTTCCTTAGGTGTCTTAGCAGCCTGATGGGGTTTACTCCCTTTCTTGCCTCTTGCGTGTGTAGATGCAGTGTCAGAATACTAATTTGAGATAACCCTGTTCTCTAATGGTAAACGTCATTCAGGCTTGCTATAGAAAGGAAGGTCCCTTTCTGATCGTAACTCCAAATCCTCCTGTGTTTGCAGCTCTTAAAATGGTTACCTTCATAGAATCTTGAAAAGCAATTTCCATAGGAGTGCTACAGTATTTCAGTGTTTTTAAGAATGCTGTCTATAAAAGAAAATAGAAAAAATGCTCATTGGAAATTGAGACTGGACATGCAAGTAAATTAGATTTTTTTTCACTCTTTTACTCATAATTACTGTGTGAAACTTCAGCCAGCTCAGCTGCACAGGTCAACAGACTAACCAGGGCCACCAGAGGATCAAATCTGTCTGTAAAAGCAGCTTGTTTCTTTGTATTTATTTTCTCTTCCCTCTTTCCATTCTAAGATAATGAGAAGGCTGTTTAAAAAAAAAAAAAATCTAACTGAAGCCATTCATCATCACATCCTAGAATGCCAGTAAGCTGTTTTGAGGCAGGAGATTAGCCAGCTGCTGTAAAATTTCAGTATTCAATATACTATTAAATCCATTTATGGCTGTGATATTTTCCAAAGGTGAATAGAAACAGTTGAGTGATGGGGTACTCTAGTGCATACAATATGCTGAAACAACTGCATTGTTCTCCAATGCAATTGAGTGTGTTTGCCATGACTGCTAAAGCTTGTCATGTCTGTTGAGTAAAATTTAAAGGTTCCTTATAAAGAGCAATCTGTAAAACATCTTCCACTAAGGAGATGAACATGGTTGTCTATCTAGTTATTTTATAACCTAGACTAATTCTGAGGTTAATATAAAGCTTGACTCTGGAAAAGAGCATAGATCAGGAAAAAAATGTAACTTTTGCTAATGGAAAACGAGTCAAAGACTCTTTTTGCTAGTTTAAAGCAGTTCTGCTGCTATTGCTTTGCTTATCATGCTTTTCATGATGTAAGTATTCTTAAGTATTAATTTTTTACTAAACTGTGTCCTGTTAATATTTTAAATTTCTTGTCAACTTCAATTTTTGCAACACTGCATAACATTCATGTTTTCATCTTTCAATTCCAACTGATGTGTACTCTCAGTTTACAAGCTTTTCAAGCTCTTCGGGTATTAATGTAAAGTAATATCCTGTAGCTCCTAGTGGCAATAGCTTGTGGCCTTCTTTGCTAGGGCTTTAGAGCTGATTGTAAATTGTTGACAAGCTGGCACTGTCCCTCCTGAAACGGAGCCAGAGAGATGCGGCTGCGATGCTGCAGTACTGCCACCTCATGTAATTTCAGCTGGCCTTGGCTTCCTCCGAGGATGGCGTTGGAGATTTCTCTCCATCTGCTGTCTTTAATCTCTTTGACTGATAAGCTTTTCCAGAAAGAAATTGGGAGAGGAAACAATTTTTAGAGAATGAATGGTCTGGGAAAGGTGATCTTTCTGAAATAAATTATTAGTGAGAGTGCTTTGATGTATGACTTTACATCTCCTGTGTTTGGTCCTCCTGTTTCAAGTCAACAAGAGGAGATGATGGGCAGAGGTCCCGTCAGGCATCACTTCCAGATAGCTAAGGGGTAAAAGCCCAACTGACACCACTGGCACGAGTGGCAGCCACATCTCTACGAATCTGGCTGCTTTTCCCCTTCTTAGCCAATTAAACTAGATGGGAGAGTAAAGTGTTACAGTTCTGCTAATACTATGTAGCACTTATATCCATCAGGTCTTTTAAAATATAAAAAGATCTTACATGACATAAAGAACTCATGGATTAACTGGTTAGGTGATGTGTCAGATTCCTGTTTAGAGGGTTATTCTCTGTTAGCATTCATGAATATTGACATTCAAATGGAGGGTTGTTTAGTATGGGAGGCTTTTTGTTTTAAGCTGAAGAGATTTCTCTTGGTATTTCTTGTAGCTGATGGGGCTTGCTGTATCATGTTGTTGATAATTTTGCAGGCATTGTGAAGTGGGAAGAGCCTCAGAAGATTTTATTCCATAATTTCTTGTTATTTCCTAATTTCTTATTTTTATAAACTTGAGGTTTTGGGTATAATGTGATGTAACCTTGCTTGTTACTAACACAAGGTTCTTGTATTATCTACAAATTTCTATATATTTTAATAAGTAGAATAAAATGCAACTTTCTTCCCATACTTTGCTATAATTTCAGATGCTGCTAGAGCCAGGAGGAGGAAGATGCAAAAGAAACATAGAGAATTGGATAAAGTTTCCAGGAAAAAGCAAGGAAGTAAAAAGAAATCACTTGAAAAGAAGAAGGATAGGAGAGAAGATAGAAGTGATACTGAGAGAAAGTCGGAAAGAGACCACCGAAGTTTGAGAGAAGTGCAGAGAAGGGATGACGGGTCTAAATATCATCACAGGGATGAGTCCAATGGCAGAGACAGTTACCACAGTGGAAAGGAAAGGAGCCATGAAAGAAACAAGGATCTAGAAAATAAACACAGTAATTCAAAAATGAAGAAAGCAGAGAGAAGAGTTTCATTGTCAGATGATGAAAATTACAGACACCGGAGTAAAGATAATGGGCATCGCAGCAGAAGAAGAGAAAGGTCAAAATCTGGAGAAAGGCACCATAATAATTCAAGTCCCAGAGAGGAGGAACAGGAAGACAGGTACAGAAATGGTTCAGAAAAAGTCCGAGAGAAACACAGCCGTCATTCTGAGCAGTACAGGGAATCGAGAAAAAACGAGGACAGACGAAGGGAGAATTCCCCACACAGGGGAAAATAATGCTTAACCTGAATTTGAAATGAATGTGCATTCTGAGCTGTTAAAACTGTATATTTGAAAATCTTATTATTGAACTTTCCTTTAAAAAAAGCTTTTGTACAGAAGTGATAACTTGCATTTGTAAATTTTATCAGATTTTTTTCAACTTTTCAGTACTACTTTTTTATAACAATTGCATTGAGTCTTTCTGTTAATTTCTTCCTTTGGAAAGAGTTTTCATGGAGAGGAGACAAAGTTGCTTATATTTGAGAATAAAGCAGTTAAGTTCTCAGTGAAATGAGTGTTTTTTGTCACCTAATTTTAAGTATTTGTAATTACTACTTTACAGACTGAAAAATGTTCCCTTTCAATTTTGCGTAATAGTTGAAGAACAGAGATATTGAGGCTAGTGTTATTGAGGCTAATATGGTGTAAAATCTCCCATTACAATATGAATTTTATAGGAAGGTGTGTTTTGTTTTTTTCTTTTCTTTCTTTTTTTTTTTTTCATTTGCAGACATCAGCACAAGTATTTCGGGCATTCTGCAGCTAATTATATATTTCATATTCATAGATATGGAAGCAAGTCTGACGAAAGTTTTCAAAAAATAATACTTGATTTCTTTTCTTCAAGAGTTAAAACTTAAAACTGCAATATTGCAGTTTTAAATGTCACAGTTAGAAAGTGTGTCAACTTGTTCTGTGTTACTTCTACAATTTGTTTAAAAATATCTCAGCATTCTGAACTAGTTAAATTTGTGATCTTGTAAATGTAGAAAAAAGCCAACTATTAAAGTCACAGAGGTTTAAATTCTAGCATGATAATGGTAATGTGTAAGGAACATCTTTTTTGGTATACAAAATCAAGCAATAGAAAGAAGATTCTCAGAAAATTACTCACTTTGAGGTATATTGCTCAAAAAGCAAGGTTATTGGAAGCAAAATTTACCAAAAAACAATTATATGTGGATTCATTGGAAGTGATTAGCTGCATTATTCTTATTTGAGAACAAATCCAAATTGGTGGTTAAGATTCTAAATCCCGTTAGTAGGTAAGAAAAGTTCTGTGAGTCTTTTGACATAAAGTAGGATGTGGTGTGAGCATGGTCAGGAGAAGCATAAGGAGCTGGCAGTGGTATCTCGTGCTGTCATTGATCCGGTAAGACTGCATTCTTTTTTTAATTTCCTAAATGAACACAATTCATGGGCCTATGAAAACTTAGACTTTTAACGTTTAAATCACATTTGATCATGTAAGTCATTATAGGAAATATTTCTGAGCTGTTTTATAACAGAATATAGAACAATTCCTAAGGAAATAGACTAGTTTTGAGTAACTACTGTCAATATAACATTTTTTCTAAGAAAAATGACTTTTTTCTGTATTTAACAGAGCATATTTCTGTAAGTTTTCATGTAATAGAACATTTTCTGACAAAAGTATTTGCATGGAAAATAAATTCACCCTGCAGGAAAAAGCCAACGTTTTCTATCATGTTATACCGAGCAGCTAAGAATGCTTTATTTGCATCACTAGATGTATCATATTTAAACTGCTGAAGAGTGCTTTTTATTGTCCAATGCACTTTTCATTTTTAAAATGATTTGTGTGTTTTTGAGATATTTTTTAATT